CCGTGTGGCTACGTCACCGACGGACGCAACATATCGGATTTCGACACGTCATACGTCACGGACATGCGTGAACTCTTCAAGGACAAGGAGGGTTTCAATCAAGATCTCTCGAGATGGAACACGTCCGCGGTGACGAGCATGGCGGGAATGTTTTACAACGCGAGGGCCTTCAATGGAGCGATCGGGTCGTGGGACGTTTCGAGCGTGACGGACATGTCTAACATGTTTTACGATTATTATTCTTGGGACAGTAGATTCAATCAACCGATCGGGTCGTGGGACGTTTCGAACGTGAAGGACATGTCTTACATGTTCCGCGGCGCGTACTCGTTCAACCAAGACTTGAACAACTGGAACGTGAGCGCGGTGACGAACTTCGCGTACATGTTTCGTTACGCTCGCCAGTTCAACGGTGATATCACGAGTTGGGACGTCCGGGGAACGGCGACGCGAACATGCGATGAGTGGGGCAATTGCTACAGCTCGTCTTCAATGTCCGAAATGTTCGCGTACGCGTATGCGTTTAACCGTGACATTCGATCTTGGGACGTATCCTCCGACGTGTACACGTATGCGATGTTTCGCGATACGCGTTTCGTGCAGAGTTTCAAGTGTCCGAACGACCGGGACGGCCCGCCGTCGGCGTGTTACGTCACGCCGTTCTCCTCCTCCGTCGCCCTGGAGCAAGCCGTGGACGCGTGCTTCGAAGAGGCGTTCGACGGATCTTGTCAATGTCTGGACAAGTGCGGCGAGGCGGGACTGCCAATCTCGTCGTGGAACACCACGGGCTTGCTCAACATGCACGATTTGTTCGCCGATCGCGAGTTCTTCAACGAAGACTTGAGCAAATGGGACACCTCGCGAGCGATTCGCATGGACGACATGTTTCGAAACGCCAAGGCGTTCAATCGCGACATCTCCTCCTGGGTCGTCGATAACGTCCGCGACATGTCCAACATGTTCAACGGCGCGACGACGTTTAGTCGTAACCTCACGAGTTGGCGCATCGCGAGCGGGGCAAATCTCACCGACATGTTCAAGGGCGCGACGGCGCACAACGCGCGATTTACGTGTGACGACGCGGACGACGGTCCGCCGAGCTCGTGCGCGGCGACGGCGTACCCATCCAGTCTGGCGCATCGTTTCGACTTTTCCGAAACGGTGGAAACGTCGGGCGACGTCGTGACCTCATTCGCGGACGCGACGGGCAAAGCGACGGACGTACAAGTCGTCGGGTCACCGACGTACGCGCGACACGTCCAGGCTGGATTGAACGCCATCAACTTCACCGCGAATGGGCAGTACCTGCAGTTTACCGCCGACGGAGGCTCGGAACCCGAGGTTTTCATCGTCTATCGCGTCTTGGCGTACGCAGAGCTAGGTGTGATCTTCACCCACGCGACAGGCTCGACTGGGAGCTATGGTTTTGGGACGTCTCAGATGGGCGCGGCGAATAAGATTGGTCTCAGCGCGTCGGACGGCTCGGCTTTCGCGAGCGTCAACGCGTCGTACGACGCGTGGCACGTCGCCGACGTGTACTTTGGCTCGAGCGACGGTTTCGTCGACGTCGACAACGGCACGAGTGCGGTGGATTTCCAAACGAGCGGCAAGTACACGGCGAATACGTTGACGAATGTCATGATTGGCGGCGCCGCGTTCGACGGTCACCACGTCCCGAATCTCATCGGCGAGGTTTTGGTTTTCAACGCCAAATTATCCGACGCCGACCGCGCGCGCGTGCGCGCGGCGCTCATGTCCAAGTGGGACGTCCCCACACCCGATCGACGATGGCGATACGTCCAAAAGGCGAAGATGACGGCGTCTGATCCCGGATCGAGCGATTATTTTGGCCAATCCGTGAGCGTGTCGGGCGACACGGTTGTCGTCGGTGTCCCGAACGAGGACCACAATAGTACCTCTGATTATAACTATGGGAGCGCGTACGTGTTCACGCGCGCCTCCGACGGGACATGGACGCAGCAGGCCAAGCTCACGGCGTCTGATCCTGGCTCGAGCGATTACTTTGGCTCCTCCGTGAGCGTGTCTGGCGACACGGTTGTCGTCGGTGTCCCGAACGAGGACCACAATGATAACTCTCAGTATACCGAATATGGTAGTGCATACGTGTTCACGCGCGCCTCCGATGGGACGTGGACGCAGCAGGCCAAGCTCACGGCGTCCGATCCTGGCTCGAGCGATTACTTTGGCTCCTCCGTGAGCGTGTCGGGCGACACGGTTGTCGTCGGGGCACAGTATGAGGACCACAATAGTACCTCAGATTATAACTATGGGAGCGCATACGTGTTCACGCGCGCCTCCGACGGGACATGGACGCAGCAGGCCAAGCTCACGGCGTCTGATGCTGATCAGAGTGACTACTTTGGCTCCTCCGTGAGCGTTTCGGGCGACACCGTTGTCGTCGGGGCAAGTCATGATAACGTCAATGGTCTATCGAACAGCGGCAGCGCATACGTGTTCACGCGCGCCTCCGACGGGACATGGACGCAGCAGGCCAAGCTCACGGCGTCTGATGCTGATCAGAGTGACTACTTTGGCTCCTCCGTGAGCGTTTCGGGCGACACCGTTGTCGTCGGGGCACATTATGATGACCATGATACAAACACAAATTACAACTATGGGAGCGCGTACGTGTTCACGCGCGCCTCCGACGGGAACTGGACGCAGCAGGCCAAGCTCACGGCGTCCGATCCTAGCTCGAGCGATTACTTTGGCCAATCCGTAAGTATCTCAGGCGACACCATCGTCATCGGGGCGCACCAAGATGACGACAACGGTCAATCCAACAGCGGCAGCGCGTACGTGTTCACGCGTTCCGGAACCACGTGGACGCGCACGAACAAGCTCTCGGCTGCCTCAGACGCAGGATCGAACGATTACTTCGGCTCCGCCGTCGGTATCTCTGACGGAACGATCGTCGTCGGCGCGTACGCGAAGGATCGAAATAGCACGACGGCAGACGCGGGTGCGGCGTACGCGTTCGCGCTCTCGTCATCCTGAGACTACGGCGAGTGACACAAATGATGCGTGACCAAGCGACGTGGATTACGGACGTACTCGTACATTCCTGCACAATGATGCGTACATCGAAGTCAGTCAAGTCTTGTCGGCGACGACGAACGCTCGGGCGCTTCTCATTCCTCGGCGCAGCGCGCGCACGGTCGAGCGACGCGTGCTCGAGACGATTTTGAATACCGATACTACGACATACGAAAACGACCCGATCGCGCGCGCGGCTTTCGACACGGGCGGTCTCTCTGTGACGCCGCTCGAAACGCGTCGAGACGGGCCGCGTTGCCGCGATCGTCACAGATTCGCGCGCGTTCTGTCGACCCCACGACGACGACGACATGCGCGCTAACAAACGATGTGAAAACCCACACGCATCGATCGCGCGCATCGTGGCGTCGACGCTCGACGCCGATATTCGTCGATGGGGCATCCGCGCGCGTTCGCGTTCGCGTCATCCCCCCGCCGCGCGAACTCGCAGCCTTGGAACGCATCCCGACGCGCGTGCCCGACCGGTGCTTCGTTCGTCGACGCGTACGCAATCGGGTTCGACCCCGTGCGCGTCGTGTGGAAACGTATGGACGCTCGGAGGCGTGGGCGCGCGCGACGCGGGCGCGTCCGTGGAAAAGACATACGTCTTCGCGTCGCACGACACGCACGCACGGGTGCGCGTCACGATTGACGTCATCGCGACTGGTCACTGGACCTCTAATGCGCGTTTCACAGCGCACGTTGACGACACGTTGGTGTACACATCCGATGCAGTCGGTGAGCGCGAGTCGTCCGTACCAACCGCGCTTCGTACGGGCTCACCGCACTCGTCGAGCCTCGCGTTCGTCGTGGATCATTCGTCCCTATTGCTTCACCTCGTGCTAACGACTAGTATTAACGACAGGATGGGACATCAGGCGTACTTTGGATTGACGCGCGCGCGCGTCGAACCGATCTCGAGTTAGATGAAGATGAAGACGCGAACGCGCGACCGTCGTCCGCGCGCACGGCGCGTCGTTCATTTCACGCGAGTCAAGCACGCGCACTCTTCCGGGACGTTTGTGCACAGAGCATCGACGCGCACACGTACGAGAGGCGGGACCGCGATTCGTTCACGACGATTCGCGTCGCGCGGTGTGTTTCATCCGACGCGTCGTCGCGCGCGTACGCCCGTCGTTCGCCGCGTGAAAATCAACTCAATGATTCTTCGGCTTTGACCGTCGCGCGACTGTCCCCGCTCGATCGCTTCGATCTTCGCGACGACACCAACGAACGAGCACCGCTCGGTGACGTCGAGGGCGACGCACGCGGCGACGCACGCGGCGACGCGGCGACGAATGCGGCGGCCCCCTTTCAAGACGCTTTACGCATTTGGGAATCGAGGGGGTATGTTTTGAGTTATGAATCGTAATTCCGTAAACGATCCCCAACGGCTACTACATTCGTCGACGCGCGAGTAGTGGTTCCAGGACGCGCAGCCGTACGTGTACGAGCCGGATGTGGAAGTATAGCCTCAAGGAGTTGCACCTCACATCTGGGGTCTGGGAACGACACCGGGTACACGCGCGCCGACGCGGACATCAACGCCGTCGTCACCGAGCGGTATCGAATCAAGTGCGCGACGCTGTGTTCGCTCTTCTTCGAGCCCATCGCGTTCGACGCGCGCGGGAATTTGTCGTGTTCAGATGTAATATGTATCGTTATGCTCCAATGAGTGATATAATACGTCTTTGGCTCAGTTTCGCGGACGCGACTTCAGACGCGCGTCGGTCTCCTCCGTTCACGCATTCCCCGACGCGCGGGCGCGATGTCGAAGCAACGACGCGTCACGGACGTAGAGGAAACGAACGGGGATGACGCACCACCGCGCCGCGTCGTGTGCGCACCGTATCCCGTGCCTTTTCGCGGCGTGAGCGACGTCGGCGTCGCCGTGGACGACTCGGTGTTCGACGCGTCGCTCGAAGCCTTCGCGTGGGACGACACCGCGTTCGAGCGCGTCGACGCGCGCACGTGCGCGTTACACGGGGAACCGGTTTCACGCACGCAGGCGCGATACTGTTCGAGCTGTAAGAAGACCCTGCGCGCCGATGTCTTCCCGGAGGACAAGAAGACGTGCGAGCCGTGCTTGCGCGTGCACAAAGCGCACGCGCGATGGCGACGACGGCACGTCCGCGTGCACGGCGGTGGGGTACGAAAACGCGACGGTTGAACCGATCGTCGGTAGGATGAACACGCCGCGTGTGCGCGCGCGTCGTTCGCACGAATCATTCGACCGTTCGTTTGAACGAATCGTCGATCGAACGATCGATCGATTCGTTCGCGGGCGCGCTCGGGGATGAAGAAAATTCCAGTCGCGAATGGAAACACCGAACGCGATGCGTCCGGCGCCCGCGTCGGCGTGGGCGTTCGCGTCGCGTCGAGCGCGAGCGCTCGGCGGCGAAGACATCGACCTCCGTCGCCGCGGTGCGTTTTCCTAACTGTATGCACATACGCACGCACCCCGGAGCAATTTCTTATCCATAATAAACGGTCGGTCGCGCGGTGTACAGAATCGTGTATGTAGACAAACAGTACAATAGTAGATGATGGACGACACATCGATCGATCGCTTCGAAGATGGGAATATTCTCTCGTGCGAAAACGCGCGCGCGATGGCGATCAATCGTACGTTTAAGTACACACACAGAGGACGTATACGCGTCGCTTTTGTCTCCGTACACTCTCCAGGAATACCTACCCCGTAGTTTGTGGTGGATAGCCCCGTGTCCGAAACAGCGACCGCGCCGGGCGGCGTGCCACCTGGCACATTCCCCCGATCTCGGTCTCGATCCGATCGTCACAATTGTGCGCGCCGCGTCGACGTCGACGCGATCGACGCGTCGCTCGAAGGTTGCGATCGTCGCGCGCGCACCACTGATGTCGATCACGCGCGTCGCGATGTCTCGCGTCGCGGCGGTGACGCGCGAGGCGCCCCCGCGCGCCGACGCCGACGCCGATCGTTCTCGTCCTCGACGTCGGGTTCGAACGTCATCGCGGGCCGCGGGGTCGTCGACGCGATGGCGAAGAGTGCTGTCCACGACGTCGGCGCTCGCGCTGCTCTTCGCCGTCGCGGCGCGTGCGCAAGCCGTTCGATGGGTGCGTGCTAGGTTAAAATTCAAACGCGACGAGATCTCATTCTAGGTCTTTCGCATTCTAGGTCTTTCGCGACTTTCCGCTCGCGCGCACCGCGGACTCGACGCGTCGACTGACTTTGAATCGACGCGCGTGTGTTCCAATCGCAGCCGGTGACGAAGGACTCGACGGTTCGTCGCGTCACGGTGTCGAACGACGACGGCGACGTCCATCTCGAGAGCTCGGGCGCGGGCTCTGAAATCGTCCTAAAGTCTCAAAAGGTTCGCGTGGACGGCGACGTGTACTGCTACGACGGCGACGTCGGGATCTCGCAGCGCGTCGACGGGTTGGCGGTCAAAGACACCGCGTTAAGTGGACGCATCGACAATCTCAACGCCACGGACGATGGATTGAAGAAGACAGACATTACATTGAGTGGACGCATTGACGATCTCAACGCCACGGACGCAGAGTTGAAGAAGACAGACACCGCGTTAAGTGGACGCATCGATGATCTCAACGCCACGGACGCCGAGTTGAAGAAGACAGACATTACATTGAGTGGACGCATCGACGCGCTCAACGCCACGGACGCCGAGTTGAAAACCAAAGACGCCGAGCTGAGTGTGCACGTAGCGTCCCTGAACGCCACCGACGCCACGCTCAAGGGCGTGGACGAAGGGTTATCGAGCCGAATCGACGCCTTGGTCGACGTGTACATTCACGAACTCAACCTCACCGATAAGCAACTCGTCGTCACGGACGCCACCCTCGGGTCGCGCGTCGACACTCTGAACGCGACGCAGTACGAGCTCAAGGGCGCGGACGCGGGTCTGTCGATTCGACTCGACTCGTTGGAGTCGTCGAGGAACGAGTCGCAGCGCGTGGACGCGCACGTCTCGGCGTTAATCGCGTCTTTGAACGACACGGACGCGACGATGAAGAGCGTGGACGAAGGGTTGGCGAATCGATTGGACGTGTTGAACGCCACGGATGATGGATTGAAGAGTCGGTTGGATGATCTCAACGCCACGGACGCCGAGTTGAAGAAGACGGACATTACATTGAGTGGACGCATCGATGATCTCAACGCCACGGACGCCGAGTTGAAGAAGACGGACATTACATTATGTGGACGCATCGACGCGCTCAACGCCACGGACGCAGAGTTGAAAACCAAAGACGCCGAGCTGAGTGTGCACGTAGCGTCCCTGAACGCCACCGACGCCGCGCTCAAGGGCGTGGACGAAGGGTTATCGAGCCGAATCGACGCCTTGGTCAACGTGTACATTCACGAACTCAACCTCACCGATAAGCAACTCGTCGTCACGGACGCCACCCTCGGGTCGCGCGTCGACACTCTGAACGCGACGCAGTACGAGCTCAAGGGCGCGGACGCGGGTCTGTCGATTCGACTCGACTCGTTGGAGTCGTCGAGGAACGAGTCGCAGCGCGTGGACGCGCACGTCTCGGCGTTAATCGCGTCTTTGAACGACACGGACGCGACGATGAAGAGCGTGGACGAAGGGTTGGCGAATCGATTGGACGTGTTGAACGCCACGGATGATGGATTGAAGAGTCGGTTGGATGATCTCAACGCCACGGACGCCGGATTGAAGAAGACAGACATTACATTGAGTGGACGCATTGACGATCTCAACGCCACGGACGCAGAGTTGAAGAAGACAGACACCGCGTTAAGTGGACGCATCGATGATCTCAACGCCACGGACGCCGAGTTGAAGAAGACGGACATTACATTATGTGGACGCATCGACGCGCTCAACGCCACGGACGCAGAGTTGAAAACCAAAGACGCCGAGCTGATTGTGCACGTAGCGTCCCTGAACGCCACCGACGCCGCGCTCAAGGGCGTGGACGAAGGGTTATCGAGCCGAATCGACGCCTTGGTCGACGTGTACATTCACGAACTCAACCTCACCGATAAGCAACTCGTCGTCACGGACGCCACCCTCGGGTCGCGCGTCGACACTCTGAACGCGACGCAGTACGAGCTCAAGGGCGCGGACGCGGGTCTGTCGATTCGACTCGACTCGTTGGAGTCGTCGAGGAACGAGTCGCAGCGCGTGGACGCGCACGTCTCGGCGTTAATCGCGTCTTTGAACGACACGGACGCGACGATGAAGAGCGTGGACGAAGGGTTGGCGAATCGATTGGACGTGTTGAACGCCACGGATGATGGATTGAAGAGTCGGTTGGATGATCTCAACGCCACGGACGCCGAGTTGAAGAAGACGGACATTACATTGACTGGACGCATTGACGCCTTGAATACCACGGACTCGGATTTGAAGACACGGTTGGATGCTTTGAAAAGCCGAGTGCAAAGCGCCGAGGACGAAATCACGACGATAAAAACCGAAATAGCGAGTCTTCTGTCTGCTGAAACCGATCCACAAGTTGGAACCGTGACCCAAGACAAGTGGTGCGTCGGGACGTCCGATGGCCAGGTTGAATGCAGCCAAGAACCACCCGTTTCCGCTTTTCCTTCATGTTTTAACGATGGTTTGTTAACGTATAACGGAACGCAGTATACGTGTCGATGTATAAATGGCTTCAGTGGATCATTTTGCGAGATTCCAGAAAGTCTATCGCGTTTAGAGAAGTTGGAGATGTCAAAAGTCAACAATACTCAAGCCGTTGGGGACTCTGTCAATGACGGCACCAATGCGTTTTCAAAAATTGTCGACGGCGACATTTCAACGGCTTGGGTATCCGGTGGACGTGCAGATGAGTATGTAGAATTTGACTTGCAAGCTGCAATAACGATAGTCGCACTTGCCATCAAACTACCTTCGTTTCCAAGTTGGTTTTCCAGTTATCTACCGAAAGATATGAAGCTTGAAGTGAGTAACGCTGGACACACTGGGCCATGGGTCACTGCCAAAGAGTTCCAACTGTCTTTGACAGGCAGATGGCAGATTTTTGATATTCCTACTTTTGCAATCAGGTATCGCTACTATCGGTTGTATATCGTGAACAGCCATGGGTCGGACACACGTAAGACTCCTAGGATATCGGAGGTTGAATTCTTCCAAAATAATACCGGAACGCGTATCGCCCCGGCTACTGATCCCCAGAATCTTCCACGGGGGGCAATCGCAGGCGTAAGTGCAACCGACCAATGTGGCCCCGCCGATTTTGAAAATAGACAAACCTACGGTTGTTCAAGGTTGAGTATTTGGCCCGTCGTTGCAAAAAACCCGGATGCGTGGGGCTGTGAGTCGGGCTCATTTCAATATAGCTCTCGTTCTGGCCATCTGGCACACGAGGTGTGCACATGTGCGGAGGGATGGCAGGATGTATGGTTTCCTATCAGTTACTACGACGGTTCTTCAACGATGCTCACGTGTATCCGAGTCTGAAATCAAAATCATCAAGAATAGAACTATCAAATACCTAAACCCAACGTTGTTATAAACTTAGGTCTTTGAGCAACTTTTCTGTTGTGAGCAGTGGCTGCGCACATCTATCGTCACATATTATTTACTAACGTCTCCGCGTGCATGCTCGGTTGAGCGGCCCCGAACATCATCACGTCTCGACGCCGACGCCGAACGAAGATGGGTCGTGTACGAAAAGAAATCACGGCGAGTCGATTGTCATTGAGGCACGTTATGATGACAAAGATGACAACAGCGCTCCATGGGACGCCGGCAGCGCGTACGTGTTCAAACAAAGGCGCGACTGGTCATAAACGAACAAGCTTGTGGCGTCTGATCCTGGCGAATAACTTTGGCTCCTCCGTGTGCGTGTCCGACGGAACAATAATTGTTGGAGCACACCAAGAAGACCACGACAGCGGCTCTTCTAATAGTGACTACGGAAGCACGTACACATTCGTCGTGATGCTCCAACAAGATGTTTTATTTTGCTCGCCAGTTCAACGGTGACGTCACGAGTTGGGACGTCCGAGGCGCGTCTTCGATGGACTACATGTTCTGACTCGCTTCTGCGTTTAACCGTGACATTCGATCCTGGGACGTATCCTCCGACGTGAGCACATATGGGATGTTTTACAATACGCGTTTCGTGCAGAGTTTCAAGTGCCCAGACGACCAGGACGGCCCGCCGTCGGCGTGTTACGTCACGCCGTTCTCCTCCTCCGTCGCCCTGGAGCAAGCCGTGGACGCGTGCTTCGAAGAGGCGTTCGACGGATCTTGTCAATGTCTGAACAAGTGCGGCGAGGCGGGACTTCCAATCTCGTCGTGGAACACCACGGGCTTGCTCAACATGCACGATTTGTTCGCCGATCGCGAGTTCTTCAACGAAGACTTGGGCAAATGGGACACCTCGCGCGCGATTCGCATGGACGACATGTTCCGAAACGCCAAGGCGTTCAATCGCGACATCTCCTCCTGGGTCGTCGATAACGTCCGCGACATGTCCAACATGTTCAACGGCGCGACGACGTTTAGTCGTAACCTCACGAGTTGGCGCATCGCGAGCGGGGCAAATCTCACCGACATGTTCAAGGGCGCGACGGCGCACAACGCGCGATTTACGTGTGACGACGCGGACGACGGTCCGCCGAGCTCGTGCGCGGCGACGGCGTACCCATCCAGTCTGGCGCATCGTTTCGACTTTTCCGAAACGGTGGAAACGTCGGGCGACGTCGTGACCTCATTCGCGGACGCGACGGGCAAAGCGACGGACGTACAAGTCGTCGGGTCACCGACGTACGCGCGACACGTCCAGGCTGGATTGAACGCCATCAACTTCACCGCGAATGGGCAGTACCTGCAGTTTACCGCCGACGGAGGCTCGGAACCCGAGGTTTTCATCGTCTATCGCGTCTTGGCGTACGCAGAGCTAGGTGTGATCTTCACCCACGCGACAGGCTCGACTGGGAGCTATGGTTTTGGGACGTCTCAGATGGGCGCGGCGAATAAGATTGGTCTCAGCGCGTCGGACGGCTCGGCTTTCGCGAGCGTCAACGCGTCGTACGACGCGTGGCACGTCGCCGACGTGTACTTTGGCTCG